TAGATTTTATTTTCTACATGCTGAAATTTTTTAGGGGAAAGCCAGTCCATAAGTCTGAAATGCATGGACAATCAGCTTAGCAGTCTTATAAGATACAGCATAGAGTATTTGGGTTTTGAAAATTCTTTTAAGAGCACTGTTGAATCAGGTCCTAGACATGATTAATAAATGCACTGCCATGAGCTCGTCTTTCCTGGTTGCAAGGTTTTAAACATGGAATTCAACGACATCTTCATGTTGAGATTCTTTCCCAGGAAATGTCAAAAGTCAATTATGAAGATTTTTTCTTTTTAAGGAGTTGGTTTGCAAAAATACTAAAAGGTCTCTGAAAATGAATTAATGTTTTCAAACCCTTCTGGGGTTATTCTAGCTCCCTTTATATGATATTAAGAAAATACAAGTTGATGTAGAAGAGAGGAGTAGAAGCATGAAATTTCCTTTCATGTAACTGATTTGACTTGCTGACAAAGATGAGTGGTGGTTATACATGCACACAGGTATTTTGCTGTGTTTCTGTAGGCAAAAGGTAGAATAATTTTAAAATGAGAGACAAAATCCTGTCGGTGTAATAAACTTGGATTATAGCCAAAATCAAACTCTTAAAAAAGATGAAAAACTGTTTTCTAAAGATGGCTTTATCTCTAGCATAATGTCAAATGACATAAAAGGCTTTAATTTTTCTGCCCCAAGTTCATTTTATTTACTGTGCCTTATCAACAATTAAAAAAAAAAAAACCAAACAAATCAAAACCAAAAAAACAACCACCACCACACAACAACAAAACTGCAACAATTTGGGAAAAAAACTTCAATTATTATCTGCAAGTTAAAATTAGCCAAGTTTACTATCATCCACAGGCTTGTAAAAGTTTCCAACAATTCTTATACTGTAAATTATGTAAAAGACATGTTTAGTTTTATAGCAATGCAATGCAAGAAATATTGAGATCTTAAAACATTAAATTTTTTGATACAATTGTTTTTTAAAAAATAGCTTTGTATCAATAAAACGTGGAAAATCACAGTTCTATAGATCATTAGGTAAAAAACTCTTGGCTAGTCGTTTGAAACAAGATTTACATTGAAAATTAGTATTCCTGTCCTTTTAATGTGTAAGATAGACAGATAAGAGATTTGACTTCTTCTAACCTTTCCAATAACTTGCTTTGTAAATGTTAATGTTAGAGGAAAAATCTACTTAATCTAACTATTAATTGGATAGTAAATTATATAGGAAATCCATGCCCACCATCCCTAACATTTTACACTTCTGGATATGCCACAGTGTGTACCTTCCACCCAATGCTGGGACCGCATTGATTTGGAGCATGATTGATGATCTAAAAGAAACATCTTATCCCAAGTCAGTGAGACCACATACTTAAAATAAGACTTATGTATCCGTTTTATGTCTAAGGGATCAATTTGAATGACTTCCAACAGGACTACATGACAAATTAGACAGTTTCAATGTAGTGAGTAAATTCCTTCCTTCATTCAACTTATCAAATATGGCAATTTATAAAATTAGTATCCTGAGTTTGGGGGGGGAACCCCACAAAACCCTAGCCCCAAAACCTGTTTTAAGAAAACTATTTCCAATTACATGCCAAAATATTTTTGCTATTCTATGCAGTTGAGCTTAATGTCCCGCATTAAAATTAGAGATACTAGTCAGTGAATTGTTATGCAATGAACTCAGGAAGTTTTGAGATATTTTGACCAGTTATACTCAAACTGAAAACAGAAATGATAAAGCCTCCTCCCCCTTTGTAAAACTTTGTAACTACTTGAGAAATTATTTGTGGAGATTAAGTGTATATACATTCTTTCTTTTTGGTTGTGAAACAATGTTCAGTTGGTTATAAGCTAAGATGCTTTCAACAGAGCTAAATTAAATTAAAATAACCTAGGATTCTGAATTGTAAATTATTGGCTGTTTTAGGATAAAATCGTTTTTGGATTCCCATCCAAAACCATTAGTGGGTTTGAACAGTGTGCTTTCAAGCTTTGGATCTTCTATTCTACTTCTACTGAAGTATTAACCTTCCCAAAGGTCATTTGCTATAAATGGGGATTTTGGACACCAGTAATGTAAAACTATTTTTGTCTTTGAGGTTGGAAATTATGGATAATTCTGGTTCTCAGGGTTGAGAAGCTCCCAGGCCCACACTTGGCTTACTGTATGTGCCAATTCTATAGAACCCTCCAGCAAGTGTGGTTTGTTCTGGTCAATTTCCTAGGTCAATAAAGAAGTGTTTCACGCTCAACAAGAGAAACCTAACATTGGGACTATCACAAAAATTAGAGAGTAGATGTGAGGCTGCTGTGCTTATTAATTTTTGAATCAAAACCTGGAACCTTCTGCATTTTCCCAGCAGCAATAAGGATGCATGAAACTAATCTCCAACAATCTGAATGCCTGTTAATTCAATTGCCTAGAATTCCAGTCATTACCCAAGCAGCCTTCCCAATTAAGACATCCGGTCTCCTTCAATTTTCCACTTAAGCCAGAACACAGAATAGATTCGACCAATCAACTGGGGGTAAAATGACACATGAAAAGTGACTTAAGGTGTATAGATTAGCAGATGCACAGCCTATGCCACACTTGAAGTTTTGTAGATTCCAGTTTCTAGGGAATAACCTCAATATTCTTGATCTAGCATCTAGAAAATGGGTCACATTTTCAAAAGGTGCTCTTTGTATCATAAATGACTTGATGAAAAAAAATGTTTGCACATTTCCATTAGAGCCACCCCAAGGCATTCTAACACTTGCATACAATGTGAACAGAACTGATTCTTCAACACAGAAGCTACGTGCAAAACTTATAGATTCTATGCAGACATACTCATAATTCAAAGAACACACACACACATCAGTCTCAGTTCATATAATTTATTGCAGTTAGCACACAGTTTAAAAATTCACCAACACACCAATAGTACAAAACTAAACAGCATTGTAAGTTATTCCCCCCTCAGGAAAATAAAACATACTATGATTGTCAAAGCTAGATGTCAGTCTAAGTTTTTAGAACAAAGGAAGAATGTGAAACTAATAAAGAGGAAAAAGCAATCACTCACAATGACATGAAAAAAAATCCAAAAGAAAGTCCATTTTCTCACATTGATTGTCTTCTCTAAATTAATAAAAATTATCTTAACATAAACTGTATTTTTTTAAAAAAACAAAACTAGAAACTCTTCAAGTAACTAAAGATGATAATGCTCCAAGGCCATTTTCACAGCTTTTTTTTGTTTGTTTGTTTGCTTTAAATGCCATTACAGCCAAATTAACACACATTTGACCAAATATTTCCAAAACAGTCCAGCAACACACAATGGAGTTTTCCATTCAGTATCTTAAGCACAAAAATAGGCTATGTTTACAGTAGTTAAGGCGATCAAATTTTAAACAAAAGCAATTTAAAAAAAAAAAAAAGAGAAAAACAGCAAACGTTTTCCATGCTACTCCCATAGACCTTATTTGTAAGTGCAAGACGGAAAACAAACACTGTGCAAAATGCTCTTGCCCTGTGTGCTGGTCATTAAACCGCACGCAGGGGTGCAGCTCCGGCTGCAGTGAGACACAAAGTCTACTAAACCCCCTTCCCCACGTCAATCAAGGCAGCCCAGCCCTTTCAGCTTGGGGCTTTTTCAGTCCACAGAATCTTTTCTAGAGTTTGGGGGGGGGGGGTTGAGGGGAAAAGGGAGGGAAAGGGAGAAAAAGAAAAGGGACACAACAAGAAAAAGAATGACCTATTGTCAATTTGTGCAGTAGTTATTCTAAAAATGCTCAACTGGGTAAATAATGTGTACACCTAGACTCTGAGCTGGTATGGGTTCTGTGCAATTAGGAGTTTGTTATAAATGCACACTGCACATGCAAATCTTTAAGCTTGTTTGTAAACATTTATATTTTCCTTGTTATGTAGCGGTTATCAATTTGCAGCGTTAAGTTGTTTTTTGTTTTTTACTCAGCTTAACAGTTTCAACTTAAGAGACAGTGGGAAAAGTCAATTTAAATTATATAAAATAAAAAATAACAGTGCATTTGTGTTCTTCATAACACCAGTTTCCAAATGGTGCTATTTCTCTAAGGAAATTAAATAATTTTAAAATCACTCGTTAAAGTTATACAATGCAAACAAAGACAAAAATATATTGAAACTCATGCATTTCTGTAGCGTTAATATTTACTTTTCAAGACTCAACTAAGAGCATCAACACAACCTGTCAAGTTCTTTGACACCCCACCCCAGCCCATGTAATCAGTTACAGTATACAATAACAGTAATTCACATTTTTAAACACGCAGTTCAACACTGCTGAAGCTGCAATATCCTTTTCATCCCAAGCAAACCTTCACAAAGACAGGGTCCCCAGTGACCCCAGTGTACTTGTCAGAATTTTGCTCACTGGGAACCGTCAGAAAACCAGAAGTTGCCACAGAAAGTTTTTAAGTCAACTGCTTGTTTAAAAATAGATAATCCAGCATTTCAGAAATTTTCCATTTGGGTCTAAAAGCATTCAGGTTTCCAACAGCCAGAAAAGATTCATGCAATTTGAGACATAGAAAGAGGCTAGTAAAACTAGTGGGAACTTCTACTTAAAAAAACAAAACAAAAAACAAAAAAAAAAAAACACCCCAAACAAAAAAAACCCAAAAATTGTAAGAGGGAGAAAAAATAAGGAAAAGAATACCACCTGCAAAAGACAAGGTGGTGGCGGCAATATGAAGCCGTATGGAAGCATCTTATGATGTGACAGTTTCACAAGGTTCGTATTGGTTTTTCTGCCCCTGGCCCCCACCAAAGAAAAACACCTCTCTATTTTCTGACTTGTGCTAAAGTTTCTCTTACCAGAATGCTAAATTAGTGAGCTCATCATGCTATTCTAAAGTGCAAAAAACAAGTTAATATCCCGACTTTTTTTTTTTCTTCTTTTCTCTTTTTTAGTTCCAGGAAACGAGACTGCTTTTAGACCGTACCACGACTAGATAGAGATCTATTTATATATGTGTGTGTGTATATATATTATTTATATTAGCATCGATATAAAATTATTTCCAGAGTTCTTGAGAGCTATCCTCTAAGGTCCAGTCTCTGACAGCAGGCAAGCTGAGGGCTTCACTCTTAACCGACAAGGAGTTCACCAGCTCACAGTGGAACTTGCGGATGTGTCTGTACAGGTCCCCGGACTGTGTGAACCTGCGCTCGCACCACTTGCACGCGTGCGGCTTCTCGCGTGTGTGCACCACGGCGTGGCGGCTCAGGTTGTGCGAGTACTGGAAGCTCTTGCCGCACTGCGTGCAGGTGTAGGGCTTCTCCCCCGAGTGAGTCCTCTCGTGGCGCTTCAGGGTGTACATGCAGGAGAAAGTCTTACCGCACAAGGAGCAGGTGGGCACATTGACGTCAGCGGCTGGTTTGCTGCGGATGCCATCCTGCTCGCGGAAGTGCGTGCTCAGGTGGATCTGCAGGATGTGCGGGCTGGGGAAGACCTTGTTGCACAGCGGGCACATGAAGATCTGGCCGGCGGGGCTCAGGATGTTGGAGACGTAGGGCAGCAGGCTGCCGTCCATGCTCCCTTCCACCTGGACGCGCTCACTCTCCGGGGTCATCATCTCGTCGTCGCTCGCTTTGTCCTCCCGGTCCAGCTCCCTCAGGACCGAGTCCTCCCTCATCGGAGCCAGATGGGCCGGCTCATACTGTACCCTGTGATTAGTGCTCACACTTTCTTTCACAGTGCTATGTTCCATGTCATAGTCATTAGTGCCAACATCACTCTCATCACAGGAGGCCTCTTTCTCCACCTTCACCTGCACCAGGTTGCTTCTCAGCACGTCCTGTGAAGAGAAATAAGAGCTGTTCAGATTCTCAACTCCTGAAAGGCTGGACTTGACAGACAGGTCCAGCACACAGTCAACATCTGCCGAATCCCTCACGGAGGTGACAGACCTCTGGGACAAAGACTCTGAGGAGCTGCAGGGGCTGGCGACTGTTTTCCCAGCTGCTGTGGCGTGTGGCTCGGGGTCCCCCGGCGCGGGGGGCAGGCCTGCAGGGTCTGAGGGCAGCCGCATCCACACGTTGCCGGGCTCGCCCGCCAGCTCCCTTTTGCTGGGCAGGATGGTCAGTTTCTCCTCCTCGCCTTCATCCTCATCGCTGGGCAGGTCGCCTGCCATGTGGCTGCTGCCGTCGGAGAGGCTCTCGACTTTGTCTGAGCAACTTGAGGCGTCTTCTTCCTTCTTTGTGCTGTCCGCCTCCGTGGTGGCTTTCTCTTTCAGCTTCTTTTTGCAGACTTTGACGATGTCGTACATGTGGAGGTAACTGGCAGCTGCGAGCACGTCTTCAATGGGCAAGTCTTTGAACTGGAGTTTCCCTTCATACATGAATTCAAGCAGGAGAGCGAAGGCTGGGGCTGTAACAATGTCGCTGTTCAGATGAACAATGTCCCTTTTGTCCAGCTGGTCTTTGTAAAAGAGGTGGAAATACATGCTGCACGAAGCCAGGACAGCGCGGTGTGCGCGGAACTGGGCATCTCCCACCAGGACGGTGCAGTCACAAAGAAAGCCCTGGTGTCTCTGCTCGCTCAGACACTGCAGCAAATGTCGACTGTGGTCTGGGAACTCCATGCTGTCTTCATAACCTGGGGAGAGAGACACTTCTCGTGAGCGCGTGGTGGTCCACAGCAACTTGGGAAAACGCAAGAGCCCCGATAAGAAAAAGAATTATGCACTGGCCACTGGGGAGACACGTCCCTGAATTTTAATCAGGCTTCTGACCCAAGAGCTACCCAAACCACACACACAAAATCCAAGTGCAGGAAGGCGAATTTATACTTTCCAAACTTCCTGACCCCAGGCAGACGGTTTCAGATGCAGCTTCCTTGAACTTTTTAAGTTGCATTTTATAAGCCTCAGTGTTTTTGCTGAGAGTAAGAATTTCGATCTCTGGCAGGACAAATTAAAATCCTTCTATTGAGCAAATGGTGCTCTGTAAGATCTACAGAATAGATGCTGCCTCAGAGGACAAACTCGGGAAATGAACAAAGTCCCTGAACACATGGCAAAGATGCAGAAAACTTACTCAGCCACTCCTTTATTATTTCTAATACTCAACTGAACTTCGAAAGCACGCTTTAAACACACACAGACACATTTGGCTGAACCAAGGAAAAAAATGAACTTGCATAATTAGTCCAGAAATTAGCAAACAACTTACTTTTAAAGTCAGAGTGTTACAACAACAAAAGCCCTGTGTATAAAAACAGATGTTGGTGCCTTAAGATTTGCAGGTAGAGCACACACATACGAGATCAGAAGAACTACACCAACAGATGGAAAAGATCATTTTTACTGTGCACAAATCCAAAGCTTTCTGAAAATGAATTAGGGGGAGGAAATGATTCTATGGCTTTGTAGACTCTGTAGTGCTAGAATGCCAACAACCACAGAAGCTTTACTTAGCTGCAAATTTGCATCTCAACTTTGAGCCGATACAAATCAAGACAAATTCCCTATTAAAATTAATTTCCACTTTTCAATACATTCATACCATCCTTTGGAACAAAATGCAAAACCTTTACAGGTTCCAAAGCATCTCTTCCACCTTCAAAAGAAAAAGCCTTTTAGAAAAAGAGAAACTTTTCTTTTCTGAAACTGCTTTAACTCAGCCAACAGAAAATACTTTGTTTCAGTAGAACTTGATATAGTTTGTTTTCCTGCTTTCTATTCTTTCAAATATGCATTGTTGTCCTGGTTTTCTGGTGAGGGAGGGTGAGGGGAGATGACAAAGGGTCAAAACTCAACTGCAATGGGTGACCTCGTGAAAATATCACAAAAACCAACTTCCCTTTTCTGTGGCCAAAAGCAAAGTCCCACGCCATCCCACCTCACAAAGTACACTCTGGGAAGGAACACAGATTCACTCAACGTTCAGAATTTACTTCCTTTCCTCTTCTACACACTACCCAAGGAAGACAAAACTTTCCTTTTAACCCAAATACAACCTGCAAGATGCCACTGCTACAGCAACCCAAGATCTACAATACAATCACTTTAAGTGCCCCACAGCTAACATCAATCCTAATCCTTGAGAGGGCTAAAAATAAAGATTGGAGGGCAGCTCACAAGGTAGCCGTGATCAAATTAGGAGGCTGAGAGGACAGAGAGAGACGAAGAAGGAAGCTTATAAACATCTGATCCAGCTGACTGTGGCCATATGGCAGCTGCTGCCCAGATAAAGAGATTAAGAATAGAGGAGTGCGATTACAGCTGTCTGGCCAATTCAGGCAGCTCAAATCTACAAGTTCTAAATTAGTCGCTCAGACAAAAACTCCTGCAAATAATTATTGTTATGCTGAAATAAAAGATCTCTTAAATATATATTTGAAGGAGAAATGAGGAAACCAGTTAAACTATTCTCCTGGGGACAAAAGTTGGGTTTTTTTGTTTATTTGTTTGTTTCCTTTTTTTTTAAAAAAAAAAAAACACACACACCCCACTCATACACAAAACCCTCAGTTTCAAAAGCACTACAGCTGTATATTTCGGCAGAGCCATCGAATGTTTTGAAGACTAAAAGTTTCACACTAGAATTAATTACACAACAACCTAGCTCCTTAACTAGAATAATCTTCTCATGTAAATTTGAATGCTTGATTCCAGGTTACCATTTCTTTCCCAAAAAGCAAAAAGGATCTAAATAGCTGTGGGATTGGGGGCCGGGGTAGGGGGAAAAGAAAGGGCATTTTAATCCAAAGTGATCTCAAAAAGAAGCATTTCAAAGCCTTTCTTAACATTTCAAAACTTGACATATTTCTGTGTATTAAAGTTATTTACTCACTCGAGAAAAAGGGATAAAAAATTACCACTCAAAAAGCCCAACCCTTTCAACTCAAGTAGGATGTTCACTTAATACTCAATTTCATAGATTATTCCCAAACTAGGTTAGAAAAGGAATGTGATTAAAAAAATGAATAAATAAAAATTGAATAAACAAAACACCCAAACAGAAATATGCTTCATCTAATCTATTGCTCCTCTCCTACCTTGAGGACACATAAACCTGATTAAGTCCTTTCCTCTGAGTCTTGCTGGCTCCAGGTCTGTTACCTCGGTGGAAAAAAAGCAGACGAAGAGAGACAGATGCAAAGTGGAGATGATGTTAGAGAGGAATGAGATACCTTCTCCACCACAGATCTGCACACACTAACTCCCTGTCTGTGTGTTAGAATAAAAGGCTGAGGGGTGGCAGGCTGTCAGCTGCTCTGACATCATGTTCAGATGGAAATGCTACCTCCAGCTGTGCTCCTTTTAATGCCATATGCTACTCCTCTACACTCCTGCCACCAGCTTTTTCTTAGGAGAACTTTTCTCTTGTTAGTATAAACAAAATACTTCAAAGTCTCCCTTTTTTTCCCTAGCCCCCCCCAAACTTTCTAACAGAAGAAATTGGAAAAACTCTGCATATGGAGTTCTACTGTATTTATGGAATAGCAACACTTCTGTCTTAAGTTGGTGGACTGCCTTCCCTACACGCTGACAAGCACACTCAAGGCACCCTGCTATTCAGGAAATCCAAACTCACTTTTCTTCAGCAGCAACCTTTTGTTTTTTTTTTAAAAAAGACAGTTTAGAAATATTTTAAACCACCGCCCCCCAACATCTTCAACCCCATTTCAACATTACTGCTCTTCCATTTCTTCCCCACCCCACCCCTCCTGATAAGAGGATACACGTTTCAGAAATCCTGAAGACTTCACTGAAAATATTACTTAAACTCAATTCACACCACCTCACTCTCATGGAACTACTAACCTGCCTACTACTACCTTTCTCAGGAAAACTGTTTACACTGAGGTTATAATGTAAATTTCAATATTCAGCACCAACAAACTGGGACCGTACTTTCTGAAATTCTGGAAAGTGTGTCAGTTCCATGAGACAAATTAATAAATTGATACAAGCTGCCAGGGTCATTTCAAATGAATGCTGCACCTGCTTATCTGATCTATCGGCTCTGAAAGAGCAGAACCGTGCCTTCCCCCTTGATCTGTGTGCCATAACAATCTATTTTTCCCCCCCTCCCCTCCTGGTCACTCTGTAATGTTCCTGATCACAAGGAAACCTTTGGGGGTGGGGTAGGAGTTAGAGAAGCCAGATCTAGTAAAGTCTAGGAAACTTTCGCTCAACTTTGTGGGCTTTTTTCGAATGGCTGATGAAATCGTACAGCAAACTGGGGCAGAAGCCCCGGCAGGAGCAACGGGTGTCCTGCCAGGTGCTGCCACACCTGTGAATGTCATATCTATCTCCACTCTTGGAAAGGTGAGGAGAGGGCCTGGGGCACCCCAAGTATTCCAGCCTCGCTTACAAGCACCTTGTTCTCGCTAGAAAACGGTGGCAAAGAGTTACAGAGCAACTGAACCAACCACTCCCGTCTGCCCTTCGCAATGCCCCAAAGTCACACAACAAGATCTAACTTTCTCTAACTTCGCGGTGAATGACATAATTCTGAACGCCTGCTTCAAGAAGGTATTCTTGGGAGAGAATAAATTCTTCCTCGGCCACAGAGCCCATTCTCCACAAATGCCCTCGCTCCATTCCAATATATCAGGCATTAATCACCCCATTTACCCAGCGGAGTGGGGGCTGAGTGACAGTTTAATGAGTCCCAAGCACCGCAATGGGCCAGCGACTCCCACTCCACAAATCAAGCCCTCTGCGTCTCGCCACCGCGGCCCACAGAGGTTTTTTTGTGAGGTTGGGTTTTGTTTCTCGGATAAGTGGAGGCGAGGGTGCCCAGCGAGGAGGAGGGTGCCATGCAAATCTCTACCTAGTGTTCCGTGTGCCTAAAACGCGCAGGAGGAAGAGGAAGGAGAAACCAAAGGCGGGGAGGCGGCGGGCGCAGAGCCGGTGCAGCCGACACCTTAGATCGGCAAGGAGAAAACAAGAGCCGGGTCACGGCAACAACAAAAGAAAAGTGGCAAGAAGAAGCCAGCGGGCGGAGGGTGGCGGCCGCCGCTTCCCCGACGCC